TGCTGCTTCTCAGTGCTTAACGTGAATCACTTAAGAGAAAATACTAATTGAATTCATAAAGAAAAATCGATACAAACACAAGGTCATATGAAATTTATCAGTACTCAGATAATGCGCTTCTTTGAGCCTGCCATCGTCGACGAGGACATCTTGCCTAAATGCCTGAGACAAAGACCACCTGTTAACACTGACCTATGCCAACGGACGATGGCAGGCTTCAAGAAGCGCATGATCAGAGTACTAATACATGATTGCCATGAACGTATTCAAAAATACCACCAAAAAATGGAAGAACACTTGTCAGTCTGTCAGTCAATCCTTACAGCGAATGAGTTCTCAAAATTGGAAGCGGTCATCCTCAGAAGTGTTCAGTATCACCGGAACCTGCGCGACGCCAAATTCATTGAAAAGTTGAACAAAATATGTCCACCAAAACAACCCATCTCTGACGTAAACCTTGTTCACAACTTGTCCTCACATCGTCTCAACCAGCCATTGTTAGCAGTTCTTTCCTATGACGCGAAGTTCAGTACAAGGGATGCTCGAACAGAAGACTTTGTTGCATTCTTCGAATCAGCGCTGCAGAAATGTGAGGCAGACGAGGAGTGCAAAAACACCATGAGGCAACAGGTATCATCCTTACTTCTCGAGCACAAAAGTCGGATGACGATTTCCTAGTCAGAAGCTCGTGAACTTATGAACCTACGGAAGATGAAGGATATCGTCACCCTGCCCGCCGCCAAGGGGCGGTCAACTGTCGTCATGGATAAGGTCGACTAATGCGTGAAGGTAAACAATCTGTTGAGGGACGAGGATTCGTATGTGCCATCGACTGACAGCGAGTTCAATTAACTCAAAAACGCCATTAATAAAACAGTCGACAAGTTGAGGAAGACAGGAGCCATGACGAGAAGGGAAGCACTGGCTGCAAAGGCCACGGATTCAGCAATGTCACGTTTCTATGGCCTACAAAAGATGAACAAGCCAGAGGTTCCCTTAAGCCCCATCGTATCTTTACGTGGCACTCCAGCTGTCGGTTTGTCAAAGTGGCTGTACCAGCGGCTTTGCCTCCTTGCCAAGGATGCAGAGTGGACGGTGAAGTCTGCTAAGGAATTTTTGACCCACATCCAACACTTTGAAGTGGAGGCAGACGAGGTGATGGTGTCATTTGACGTGATCTCCTTGTTTAAATCTATTCCACCCAGTCTGGTCATCGACACGATTGACGGTCTTCTCTAGGAGAAATACAATGAAACCGATCAAAAACTCAAGTGAGCGGATATCATCGAGCTCCTGAGACAGTGTCTGAAAACATTCTTCACGTTCAGTGGCCAAGTTTACGAAA